TTTATCGGATGACGTGTAACATTAAACAAAGTCAAATAGCTTACATATTTGTTTTTCTTGACTAAAATAACTAGCATGTATATTAGTTTTCTTGAGAAAAGATAGCAGCACGCAAACTTATTTTCTTGGCTAAAGATAGCCATATATATATATATATCATTGTTATAAGAAAAAGTTTCATCATATTCCCACTAAAAGTCATATTATTTTAATTGTTATTTTTTATATATTTGGGTAAGTGCGATGCTAATTTTATTTAGAGTTTCAGATTTTATAAGTAGTGTAAACTTGTTAAGATACGACAATGTAACCGTGTTGGTTGTATTCATGAGACGATGTGCAGTATTACTTGATTTATTGTATCAAATAAATTATGTAAACGGTGTGTATCGTTTTAAAAAATTAATCCGGTGTTGTCTCGAGTCGGTCACCTAAAATTATAGTAAAACTATTATGATGATTCGTTTATCTTTATACCATAAAATACGGTAACATATTTTAATCCCGAATTCTTTGACGTTCATGGTAAAAAATTCAATTCTTTATTTATTTTAATTTACAATAAATTTATTTATTATATTTTTATTATTTAATTATGTTTCTTTTTATGTGCTAGGAAAAACATATAACATATAATATACTAATAAATTCTATGAAAAATAAGTGTATGGTTCAGCAGCAGCAGCAAAAAAAAAAAAAAAAAGAGAGAGAGCGAATTGACTTACCCCTCTTGTGTTAAATTTGTGATATCCCTGGTACCGACAAACTTAAACCTTTCGCTTAAATTTTTTTTTTTTTTGCCAATCCACCGTGAATATACTTGTGCTAGATTTTAAAATTCTCATGCATTATAGACCCATTGAATCAATTTGCTGATCTAGTGAGTTGACCCGTGAGTCGAAAGCGTTGGCCAGGTCCAAGGCTCCGGTTGTAGGACAACTATAGTTTTTTTTCTCCCTTAACGTCAACATCTAAATAACGTAATGCTCCATTCTTGGAATACCATATTTGTTAATGGGGTAATCAGCACTCTGCAGGCCAACTTATAATGAAGTTAGTCAACTTTTTCCTGACCAACTTTGGATTTGGGTCCGGTTATGATGGATTGTGGTTGGCCACTTTTTGTCGATTTAACTTTTTGGCAGGTCCCTTTGAAGCGGCCAATAAACAAATTAACCTACTAATTAGCATAATGCTATCATTCGTTTGCGTTCTGGTGCATCAAGTTCTAGAGAAATATTCCACAATATCCACATACTCCATGTGCTTATGCAGCCCTACAGGGGCTGCATGTTCATTATCAACGGTTTTGGAATTAAGGAATCACAGTTGACACCTGTATATGGACAAATTAGTTAACTATCCTTGACCAAACCAAAATAAATCTAACAAATAATAATAATAATAATAAATAGAGAGAGAAAACTTATTAATTTAAAAAAATTAAACCTTTGTGTGAGATGGTAGGAATAAGTCTATGTTAATTATGAAAAAGAATAATTTTATGTTATCTTCATTGTTACATTTAGGTGAGGTTCGATACTCGATTAAAAATAGAGATGAATTAATATTATAGGAGTGATTATTATAAGAATAATTTTTAAAAATGTAAAAATTAGTTTTTAAGGATGTTTGTTGTATAAATAAATAATATTAAGTATATAAACTTTTTATTTATTTTTACAATTGAATGCCTCGATTTTAATTTCTATCAATTAAGTTGTTCACAGCAAAATCATGTGTCTTGACGGATATTTGTTAGGAATTGGTTAGTATTAAATGATGATAGGGACACCGAAACCTTAATAAGAAAATTATAAGGATGGTTTATTGATTGAGGGATGAAACAAGAATCGGTTAAATCATATGATTCAAGTATCATTTTCTTGATTGTGCAAGAATCTCTTTTTATTGATCTATGAATTCTGTTTCAACTTATAATTACGGAGCTAACCATAATTCTACCGAAATGCATCTAATTTGCACCCAAACAATGTGGATAAGCATTCATTGTTAAAAAAAAAAAAAAAAAACAAACTATGTTATAGAAAGCTTGTGCTTTGACGGTCAATATATGGATAACGAGAACAGGAGCCGCTTTCCTGGACTCTGGCTAAAGGTCCTGGAAGACATGGACTGTGACGCCCATGCTCTCCAAAATCTGCAAAGCTGATGTAGTCCGTGTTCTGTTTGTTCGTGGTAAGGTGCACCTGCCATGCTTGAGGATACCATGACCCAGAGGCGAGACGACAATACATAGGAGCATGCAGATTTCATCTTCAAAAACCAACAGGGACCCAACATAAAGGCATGGTTGGACTTTAGCGATCAAAGAAGAGCATTAACAAGTGGTAGCAGTCATAGTAAAGTAATGAATGACAAAAGTTTTACTTTTGGTGTGGGGGCGGTGGACAGAGAAAAGCTGTTCAGTGGTTGTGAGAAAGAGCCTTTGGCTCATTTATAAGCATGCATTCGGCTGTTGCATCTCCCCACCAACTACCTAATGCAATACGCTAGCCACTAGCCAGGCCAGCCCTTTTTCCCAAAAGCTTAAATGTACTTTACAACTCAGATCCAGCCTAGATTCTTGGCTCTGGATATTTGACTGATATTATTATTAAATTAATTCTTAAGGGAACATGTCCTTTGGACCTGGTTATCAACGACGAGAAGAAGAGTACCGTTTAGTCAAGGACTCTTTGCTAGCCTAGAACTTGGCTAGTTCAGCCAGTTTTCAATCAAGGGCATTTGTTTTACGTATGTTTCATGTGATGTCACAACTTTTCCATAAATGTCCATTTTCTCACTTTACTTTCAATATATATGTGTGTCACGGGACACCAGAGAGAATTCTTTTAAGCAGCTGTTCGGAACAAAATTCATTCAATGTATAGCAAAATTCTATAAATAATAATAATAATAAAAAGCTACATGCATACCAAATTCAGTATATTAGGTCAATATGAGAGTATCTTTGTAAAATTATTCAAGAAAATACTTAATCTCAATCTACATACAAAAACAAAACTGATAATATCTTTACAGTATATATATCTTACAAGAAAAGTTTTGGAGCTTTTAAGCAGTAAACATCAAATGTATTAGAATGGTAAAGAAGCGCACCAACAAAAAGTGAAATCAATTTATGTGATATGTTGTGGAGGAAAATTGCATTAGATTATAATGATTTATATACGATACATATGTCGATCTTTGATGAGATTTAAAATTATTAGCTCCCTCAGCATTGCATGCATGAATGGATTCCAACAAAGTAAATTTTTTTAATATAAAATGCGTAAATCCCTTATAAAGAAGCTTTTTTTTTTTTTTTTGAAGGGAAAAAAGAAGAAGAAGCAAAATTCTAGATGAAACCGAAGCATCAATTTGAAGCAAATAATTAGAAAATGTAAAATCATAGCAAATGTATGTCGATCAAACAAATTGCTAATTAAATTCCAAATATATGAAATACGATGAATAATAGAGGCGACATAGAAAAATTCTGACTCAGAAAAAAAGCTTATAAAACAACCAAAACTACAGACTTCAAACTATATTACTGAACAACAACTTTTAAAAACGTGGGAAAAATCCTAGTTACTAAAGGGCATCGTGCTGTTTTTTGAGCAAATCCTAATAATTTCAAGTAGAGATGGCAATTATCCCCATATTCTCTGCGTATCTTATCCATTCAAAATCCAACAAACGAACATGAAATGTGACATTAATATCTACTATTGTGTTTGAGACGAGCTTGATATTTGATTCCTAAATGCCCTATAGCTAGCCCATAACTATCAAAGTCGAATCCTGAATTTATTAATTAAGCAAATTTAATTACACAAATGTTTAGATTATTTTACATAATTAGATTATATATTCTAACAAAATATATAAATGTTGTTCATATATAATATAGATTTTGAGTAGGGAAAGGTACTGCAATCTTCTATATATATATATATTCTTTTCTTTTATACCAATTAACTTCTATACTTATTTTTCAACAAAAATGCAATTTTTTGGGTTAATATTTGGTGAATATATAATTTGTTTTTGTTATTGATTGTCTAGGGTTTAGGTTTACCAGCTTTGGGATGGGACAAGTTTACATGTGACTTGTGAGTAAATAAATGTATGGGAGTAAGGATTTAATTTTTTTTTTTCAAATAAAATTATATCTAATTCCATAATTCCAATGTTATTTCTTGCTTTACAAATTAATTATTTGACACTCTTTATTATGAGGTTCATCATGAAAAACCTTCACTAATTATATTCTTTCTATGATTTACTCTTTAATTATATCATAATCAACAATATCAAAGTTAAAATGACAAAATCAACAAGAAATTGATCCAATTCATGCACCATTAAAATTTGAGAACTTCCGAATTCGTGCACCAAGATTAATTAAATCAACATCCGAATACTTTATAATATAAATATAAGGTTTTGCATATATAGAAATGTGTATAATTTGAATTTTTTTAATTGAAATTAAGTTTTTTTCTATCCAATTTAAAAATTTTATTCTTATGTTATTATTGTTTCAGATAATAATATGTTATGTAACACACATTACAAGCTTTAGCCAATAATAACTTATCACGTGCCAAAATGATTCAAATTAGATGATTGAATTAGTGATATGATGAGCTGTCATTGACTAAATCTACAACGATAATATAAAATTAAAATTTTTAAATTGAAAAAAAAATAAAATTTAATAAAAAAAATTCAAATTTATATAATCTCAATATACATAAAACCCTATATATATATGTGGTCGATTTCTTAATTACTTGTTCATCCCAAAAAACGACAAATTTGCACTTTCAATGAGATTAATCAGAGATTAAAAAATGATAATTAAAAATAAATTGTAGTAAAACAATAATCAAGATATTAGGCCAAGACCAAAACATAAGGTTCGCCAAGAATATAAAAAAGGTTTAAAAAAATTAAAAATTAAAAATCATCTCAATACCAGGAAATCAAAAATCTGGCCGGCTCATCCTTGGCAAAATATGAATCGCTAAGGCTTCAAATCCCCGTGGCGTTTCCACCACCGATAGTCTCACCGGAAGAGCCATCACATCCAGCACAACAATCTCAGTACGACTGCCGCAAATAACACAAACTCTACCTCCACCGGCGACAGTCCGCTGTGCTCCAATAAGCCTCTCTGACTCCATTATATGCTCCCAATAATCCCTTTCTGGATCATATTTTCTAAGCACACCTTTGGCTTCATCTACCACATACATAACCTCTTCATCCAAGGCTGCCACGGGTCCTCTCCACCCTGCAACCATACCCTCTGGCATTTCCTCCCATATGTTCTTATTGGTATCATACACAATCCCTTCTTTAGCTGCATCTCCTTTCATATTCACCATACAAAGTTTCCCTCTCCACCCTACTGCATCAATAGCATCCCTACTAAATCTCCCATCTTTTAGTCCTTTCACCTTTTCCCATTTCCATGGAATTGTGTTATTGGCAATGGTAGAGATCATGACGTTCTTGTTTTGCAAATCCCACTTCTCCACTGACTTGGCCACGTCCGTGTTGAAGTGAGATCCGATCCCACTAGCCAAATAGATCGTGTCATCTGCTGAGCCTGCAGCACACCAGCGGCGAGGTGTGGAGAGTGGGGGCCAAAGGCCCATGTGCTTGAATGTGGATTAAAAACAAGAGGGCGAGAGAGAGCTGGAGAAAAATTGTGAGAAGTAGCAGCAAGAAGTATCAACCGATCAGAGGTAGAGATGGATTGGATCGGAAGGTCACGAGAAATAAAGGAAGGGTGACGGAGGAGGAGATGGAGTGGTGGGTCTGGTGGTGGAGGGAGAGAATCCCACCTGGAAGAAATGGGGTCAAAGTTAAAGAATTGGATCGAATTATTATTGTTATTATTATTATTAGAAAGGTTGTGGTTTGTATTTGTTGATGATAAAACTGCGTACAAAGAGAGGAAAGGAGGGAAAGAAGGGGAGTAGATTAGTCGACGCCATGAGTGGCAAACAGAGTGAAGTGTGAGAGGGTGGACAAGGGAGAGGCAAAGTTGGCTTATGTGGTCAGGAAGACCTGGTATGACAGGCTGTTCTCGGTGGTGCTGGTGGTGGTGGTTTTGGTCGGGAATTAGCTTTCTACGTTTGGTGGGGTTTTTGTTGGTAGTGTCAGTGGTGGAAGTTTGGATGGAATTGGCCATGGAATGGAAGGGAAAGATTTGTTCTTTGGGAAGAGCTTTAATATTGGCTTTTTATGTTTTTTTTACCGTTTTTTTCTTCTTCGAATTTTCTTTGTGATTTTGGCTTTACTTCACTTTAAAGATAAGAAGTTCTCATTGGTGGACAAGTGGGGATTTTAAAAGTTGTGTCGTTGAAGATGAAGCTTGAAGAAGCTAGTACGTTTGAAAGAAAATAAAAGGCCAAAAAAAGGGGAGGAATTGAAAAAGTAGTAGCTGGCTGTCGTGCAAGAAAGGGATAGGGGAGACGAGGAGAGGATCATCACCATCCACCAAGGCGGATGTGGGCGGCCATTAAATCCAAGCCGATTGGGATACTACGTAAAGGCTTAGTTGGACTTTACCAATCAATAAGAAACAAGAGTAATGAATGAGAAAAGGTGGAGTTGTTGAGAGTTTTGAGCAATTGATGATGCTCTACGTAGGATATAGTAACTTTTTGACAATCCAGATTCATTTTATTTCTTTTTTAAATACGCTTGGATCATAAGGTTATTGTGTGGTTGTGAGAAAAATGAATATTCATTTGGTTTATAGTTTTGATATGAAGATATTAAAATTAATAAAAAAAACAATTTAAAAAACACATCAATTTTATACATTCTCAATTAAAAAACATTTTTTCAAGAAAATACTAGTATTGCACTATCAAACACACACGAAAAATTATTGTGTGGCTGTGAAAATTGAATATTCATTAGTTTTTCTATTGTCTGGAAAATTCCTTCTTTTTTTTTAATTATTTCCTTAATTATGGTTACTTATATGGCTATTAATGGATCAGATCATAGTTGATCTAGATCCAATTTGTTTAATAAATCAGATCGAATCTTATGAATTCGGATTGATTTTTGAAAATATGAAACTTGCTCGGATTCGGAGTTCCATCGCATTTATCATTTAATTTTTATATAAATTTTATATTTATTATATTTAATATATTATTTGAATATAAAACATATTTCAACCATTACATGTATAATAAAATATATTAATATAATATTTTATCTATTAATTTTATAAAGAATTCAAAATACCATACAATTTAAAAGCATAATATCAAATAATTTTAATAAAATTTTATTTTAAATTAGGTAGGAAGTATAATTAAACTAAAAGAAATAAATAATAAATAATCTTCATTTTTTTGTCCATGTGGTAGCAAAATAAATATTTGTTAATTTAAATTCCAAGATGATAGTGCTACAAATCACATATTTTTAATAATTGGTTAATGCATAGGTTTCTTTGTTTCGATTTGAAAGTCAATTACTTGTAGTAGTTACTCGTCTTCATAATATTTGAAAGTAAAGATGCACGATAATCATCAATAACTTTGCCTCTCATATCGAATGCGGTTTCGAAGCAACGAAGTTGTTCGAACATCACGAATAATTTTTACAAGGATAAGAAATATATATCACGGTTATTGAGTCAATCATCTCCAAAAATCACTAAAGTATTGTTGTTGTGTGGCATATCTTCTAAAGATCCCAATAAAAAAGAATTACTTATAGATTCATTAAAAAAAAATAACACAATGAACTTTATGGGCATATTTGTAAGCTCCAACACCATAAATTTTTTCATAATAATACTCCACTAAATGTAGCTTAAATCTTGGATCAAGAACCACATCAATAGCCAATACCAAACTACATTCCTTTCAATATTTGATAAACTTTTCTTTCATTGGTTTAGCCATTAAACGAATAAATTCATGTTAACTATTTTGTCCTAATTCCAATCAATTGGTTTTTTCTTTTTTCTTTTTTCCTTTTTTTTTTTACTCATCTTTTGTTTTTCATTTTTGTAATTTTTTTCTCTAATTTCTATTTAAGAAAAAAAATTGATGACAAATATAATAACACCAACTCTTGAAAATAAATTTATAATTTTTTGAAATTGAATTAAAAAAATAACAAAAAATTTATATGTGATTTTCTAAAAATATAATCGTCATTGTGGTAGAATATACGTTATTTGAACTTTATAATAAATAAATTTTAAATTCCAACCCGAGTTTCGTATTTATATAGTTTTTTCATATTTAAAATTTTAATATTTTTAAAATATCTTAATTATTATATAAAAATATTTTTAATTTTGAGTCGAATTATTATCGTGTCAATTCAAGATAGATCCGGATTTGATTTATTTGATAAACAGATTAACAAATTCGAATTATAATCGGACTCGAATAAAAAATTTACTTACCAAATTCATTTAATTTAATCAAATTTGAGTAAAGATTTTATACTTTTGTAATTCTAGTTACGCGAAACCATTACCCCAAGATAGGGATGGCAATGGGGCGGGGCGGGGATCGCCGTCCCCATCCCCACCCCGTGCCCCGAACGGGCGGAATTTGCCATCCCATCCCCGCCCCAAACCGGGACGGGGATCCCCGCGGGCAAAAGGGGCCTCGTTTTACTCGTTTGCGTCCGTCCCGCCCCGCCCCATTTTGTCATGTTTTGATAGATTTTATAATGAGCACACACAATTTGCATAATTTTGTTTCCCAAGCGAGAGATCAAATCACTTAAACTCAAAGAGAAACAATAAAAAAACATGTTCCAGTACATACTTAATTATCACATATTACAATACAATTCATAATATATTAAATCATTTTCAATCGAATAAATAACATACTTAATTAAATTGATAAAATATCACAAATACAATTAAAGAAACAAATCTTTGCATGTTACTACTCAAAGATCATAAAGACTCACTCATTACATTGGAGTTTAACATAATCGTCAATTATCGCATATCCTACATTCATTAAAATTAAAGGTGAATTAGTCATTATAAAATTTTTTAATGTTGTCATTTAAACTTTGACATATTATTTTATACCTTCATCTTCTTCCGGATACTCCTCATACATAGTATAATAACCATCTGAAACAAATGAAGTTCCACCTATAAACAAATATAATAAACATAAATAAGATATATAAAATTTTTAAGAAATTAATAAAAAAATCAAATTCATATGTAGAGTTTTAGTGCATTACTTTTATTTTTAGTCTGTCCACAACCAATTTTGAGCACACATTAATGCTTCCATCGTCTTTGGATGAAGTCTACTTCGATGTGGACTTGCTAGCCTACCGTCGCACTAAAAGCCGATTCCGAAGCAACGGTTGACACATGGATTACCAACACATCCTTAGCAATTGCCATCAAAGTAGGGTACTTCACTCCATTTACTTTCCATCATACTAGAATATCAAAATCTTTGGTTCTTGGAATAACACCCTCATCTAAGTAGTAGTCTAACTCTGTCTTGACAAAAGTAACCTTGGTTTTTTTCTTGAAACATACAAGTCAAACTCGGATTTCATATCATCATAAACTATTGAAGAATTAGCCATAACGGAGCTACCACATCCTACATCCACATTCCTATTTTCTTGGTACTCAGCCAACGAAACCATAACAAAGTTTCCTTATATTCTTAATCTGAACCATAGCCTCACTCCTATAAACGTTTTCAAAATAAAACTCCAATGAATCCATTTTGTACCTAGGATCTAAAACTACAGACTACTCGCATTATTTCATGAATCACACTCCAATACTTATTGAACTTGACTACCATACTTTCCGTCATTTCACTAACCATTTGATTTAGACATGTGAGCCATTGAGTCAATGCAACCTTAATTTTAAAAATTTTAGTGAAAAACATATTTGACGTAGGGTATCGAGTTCCTAAAAACAATTCGAGTAACACTATAAAAGATCTTTAATCTCCCACACATTTCCTTTGCGAATTCCCAATCACTATCAATAGGTGCAACCTTATAATAAGGTTCGCGATGCTTCAACCTAGAGAAACAATCCTTATATAATAAAGCAATTTCAAGCATCAAATAAGTAGAATTCCATCTAGTTGGACAATCTAAAACCAATTTCTTCGTGATAGGAATGAGAAGAAAGTTAGCAACTTCCTCAAACTTTTCAACTCTTTTAGGAGTTGCTTGTCCAAAGTGCTACACTATCTCTAATTCGTTCAACCTCATCCTTAATGACATCTAACCCATCTTTCACTATGAAGTTAATGATACGAGCACAACACCGCATATGCAATAAATAACCAGAATTCAATAAATCTTTAGATTATAATTTGTCCCTCACATACTCAACCATTGAATCATTGGTGGAATAATTATCGAATGTAATAGTGGATAATTTTCCTTCAACATTCCAATCCATCAAACAATTAACCAAAGCAATTGCAAAGACAATGCTTGAATGTGGACAAGGAACATACATAAACCTAAAGTAAGATATAAATTAGTTATAAACTAGAAGTATTAAACTAAAATAATTAAACAAACATCATTAAGTTAAGAAGAAATGAAGAGTACCTCAATAAGCAGCTTCGTAATGTCCAAGAACTATCAATGTAATGAGTCATGAATCTGATCATGAACCCTTTTTTTGTTGCTCGCTATCCACAAATCAGTAGCGATGGCAACTCTACTTTCAAGTTTTTCGAAAAGTCTCTTCATTTTGGCTCTCTTATTGTCATATATCTTGAAGGCATCACTTTTCACCGTATTTCTAGTTGGACACCGAAATAATGGTTAAAGAGTACTTATAAACTTCCCGAAGCGAGATATGATCAACCATAGAGAACGGGTATTCATGCAATATGATAATAGAAACGAGCTCATTTCTTCCCATCTCTTGATCAAAAGTAAGAGACATTGCATCACTCACTAAGTTAGAAGTCAAAACCTTCGTCTTATGTCCGTAATTCTTCTCCTTGGACATCTCTTAAAATGATCATGCAAATGTTTAGTACCATTCCTTGACTTGCCTCCAAGTTGCTTCGTGCAATAATTGCATTCGCTTTTTCTTCACCATCCACAGTTTTCTTTATGAAATGGTTCCATACATCACTAAATTGCTTTCTATCGGGAGATCGAAATCGCTTTGAAGTT